CAGCAGGACTTCGTTTTTCTAGATTGTTTCTCAGAGTATTTGTCCTGTGTGGTTGACCTGAATCCAGAGAACAAAGTTTTTCCAGTTTTGTGTTTTAACTCAGTTCACCGATATCTTGACAAAAGAAGTTTACTTTTCTTTCCTCTTGTCTCCCTTTTCCCACACACATTTTGGAGATACTGTAAGGGCATGTGGTTTTGGCCCAGTGTCAGTGTACTTGAATAAAAGCAACCTCCAGAGACAGGAAAGTTAGACTTCCCCAGGCAAAGCAGCCTTCTCTAGTTTGATTTTGTTAAACCAGAAATTCTATAATCCCAATTCAAGAAAGTAATTAAACCTGGCTATGGTGTTTTTAATTTTTAGGCACATTAAACACTGATACATTCTCTAAATTGCATTTCTGAGACAATTTGAGTGTATAAAAATAAGTGCCAGTGGGTGCAAGTATGCATACCAGAGCTGTAGGTGTAGGGGGACCTTCTCAAAAAAAGTTTTGATACAGATATCCACCAATTTTTAAATTCATTAGATCTTACAGTGAAACTTTAATTTGATTAATCTGTCATGACTGTAAGTAGCTCTAAGGTGTTTTTGCATGTGTGTATTTCCCTGCTAACAACACCTCCCTTTCAGCCATGTATGAGGGCAAAATTATTACAGAACAATTCATTAGCAACAGAGCAACACAGATGTTTCCTTTACACACTCTCTGCCATTAAGTACTGTTTGGAAATCTGTACTGACTACATAGATCCAGAACTGTGCACCACTCAGTGAGAGATACTACTACATCCTTCATCAGCTAAAGGTGCTTTTTTTGTTCAGGGTTCACATCACTACAATGCATCTGATTCAGGTGATGGAAGACATCTTTATCAGTTGTATTCCTATTGGCCTCACATCTCAGCTACTTTATCTGAAAAGTTTTACTCAGCATTCAAAAGTCAGGCAACTTAAATAAGCTATCAAAGGTCAGTCTTACCTAGAAAGAGGGTTCAGTTTGCTATTTAAACCAGATGCCAATGAAACCAACGACTTTGTTTTGGAAACCTGAAAATGTATATGTAAGACTGCAGTTAAAAGAAGTGGCATTTTAAGGCAAAATGATAGATATTTCCAGGGAACAATACTGTATAGTTCCACATACACATAAAATGACAAATATGCATTCCAAAACAAGAGTTTTGTAATGCCAAAACATATTTGTTCATACTGAAGTTCTGTACAAACAACCACCTTTCTAATATACACCCTTCCAACTTGTAAGCCTTCTTATAATTAATGCCCATAACTCTGTGTATACTCTTTGTTGTAATCTCACTACACACTTCAGCGTCTGGCTGAGGCACTGCATTGCACAGATGGACTGAGGTGGTAAAATTAATACACCTGTGCTATTTGGTTTAGAGATCAAGGTGGACAAGAATGCACAAGCATGTATTTAAACATAAAGTTAAGGTTTTTTTAAAAAGTTTCAACAAAAAATGGTTCCTCAAACCATCAAGATTTATTGCTAAGTCAAGAGAGAATGACTATGCCACTATTTGCAAGTCTGTGTGAATGAGTTACCTGAAGTCCAGATACCATATTTCATTATGACATTAATTTACTATACAGTTTAGCCTTGCTCAATTTCAAATACATTTAATTTACAACAACTGATTTTTCAAACGAACAGCAGACCACTCGCCTGCCTAGTCATGGATCTAGCAGGGTTCATAGCGGGTCAGAACTGATTAAACCCTTATGTTGTTTGTTCAGAATAAACTTACTTTTTTAGATATTTTCTTTGCAGAAACATGCTTGGCGTCTTCATATTCAACAATTGTAGTTACCTTAACTAGAAATATTAGAAAGATAAGGAAAATAACCTCACGAAGAGCACAAAACACCATTTCAAACTCATTTGTTTGAAGCCTGTTTACCCGGTGACAGCCATCTATCAGTTCTGCTATCCAATGGTCATTCGCCTGGGACAGAGTTCAAAGCAAACAGTGTGTGTTCGTCACAGACAAACATGGGACAGTTAAAAGACACTAGATAACCCTTCAACCCCCAGACAAAACAGAATTACGTTTCTGTGTCTGTGTCCTTCTGTTTGGGTATTTTGGAGTATGAAGAGAAATTGTATTTTCCTTACAAACCTCAATGGACAGGCGTCAAAGGGAAAATGGGTGACTTTCCTAGCTCTTCCATTATACTGTAAAGCATGGACAAGTCACTTAAATCTGTCTCTTCTCATTTTCAGTGATAAATCCAAAGGACAGGAACTTTTATCTGATGTTTTGAAGTACCTCAACAGTAGCATAGATCATGATCCTCCCTCCACTCTGAATGCTCGGAGGGACCTGTATGCTATACTTCTAGTTATTCACTTTTCCCTCTTGTATCCTTCAGGCTTTATGTTCACTTTACAAATGCTCAGTTCAAACCAATTTAAAAAAAAAAGATAAGAACCAAGACATTTATTAATAGATTGACTTGCCTTTTTTGCTGTTGGTCCTCACCAGTTTTGGATTTGGTATGTCTTCGAGAGAGCAGTCAGTCTAAAGAAAAAGTTTATCCAACATGGGAAGGTCAACAGATTTTGCCCAGTAAATGCATATTACAAAAGGCAGTGAATTAAAAGAAAATGACAGAAGTGGGACTGGCTAAACACCAGTTTATTTTTTCAGAAACATCTGGATTTCTGCCTGCAGATGACCCTAAAGCTGTAGGTAATGTTCATAACTGCACCATGGGTGGCTGTCTAGCCTTTTCAGATCATCTTCTGTTTAAACAGACAGCCGAACAAAATTATTTGTCTGAAATGTTTACAGCACGGAGAAAAGACTTATATTCTGTAAACTGTGATAAAACTTGAAAACATGCACTTACCACTGCAGCAGCAAGAGCCACTTCCTCCCCTCCTAGCAAATCTGTAACTCAAGAAAGTATAACTTGTTTACATACTATTAGTTGCATAATTATCTGCAGGTTCTTATGGGCTATGAAGCTGAACAAGTAATTCAGGATTACAGTTGCTTAAATAGTTAACCTTAGCTAGCACGTATGTTGCATTTGAACAAGATTCAAGTCTGGTAGGATAGCCACTCCTAAAAACAACAATGAACACCTGAGGCCATTTCAGCATGTTTAATCTTTGAAAGGACACTAAGCAGTCACACAGTATATAACCTGAGTTCAAAGAAGAAAAACCCCCACACAGAGAGCTGCTGAAAGACAATGCTTTTAGGCAGTTTTTTTTCCAAGAAGGACATTGAAATGCATACTCAAAGTCTTACAGCAACCTCAAGTTCAAGAGTCTTAGTTTTGATCCTTGTGCAGCCCCTGTATTTTCCAGCTGCGCAGTAGATTCCAAAAATGTCAGCTCACCAGAATATACCTCTGATGCTGACTGTACACCACAAATTAAACTGCTGCATATACGTGACGTTAAAATTGAACTTGTTTGCAGGTAAACGACTAGGTGAGAAAAGCTCAGTACCAAGGACTTCAAGAGAAAGACAAAATAATCTCAGTGGCTAGGATGAACAGATTCAGATGGAAAGAAGTGCTTAAGTTTTTAAGCACAGAGAATACTAGACTTGTAATTATTCCTTGTCTCTTCAGGCTTTAAATAACATGCCTTAAGAGCACACATAAAAAGGCTCCAGACTCTATACACTGTTATTTACTAATTCTACATCCAGTTCTGGAATGCCAGCTGACCTACAGGCCAACCCGCCAGGCCAAGGGTGCTTACTGAGCATCCGCAGCGCAACACCGCTGCCCAGCAGCTTCACACACTCAGCAGACAAACTTTTTCATACAAACCCCCAAGTTTTCTGCCCTTAGCCAGGGGCACACCGCGCTGTAGCCATGCCTCTGCATCCCCCGCAGACACAGGGCCACGCACACTCACTGAGCAAGTCTTTTCTCTTCATTTTCCTGATGGCAACCGGCATCTTCAGCAGCTCCACGGTGAACGCCTTCTCCGCCGTCTGCAGCAGCGAATCGAGCTCCTTCCTCATCTCCTGGATGTTTTCCTTGGCTGCAAAACAAAACGGGCTTTTAGTGCCACTCGCGTTACATATCTCCAAGTACAAGCACTAGGAGACTGCACTGAAGAAATAAAGTCGAAGCAATGCCGCTATCAGACACCCCTTCGGCTGACGACAAACACAGCGCAGGCACCAC